TGCAGTAGCATGATCTTGGCTCACTGCAGCTTCTGCCTCCTGGGTTCAAGTGATTATTGAACCTCAGCCTTCCAAGTAGCTAGGACTACAGGCACGTGCCACCATGCCTGGCTAATTTTTTAAATTTTTAGTAGAGATGGGGGTCTCACCATGTTGGCCAGGCTGGTCTCGAACTCCTGACTTCAAGCGATCTACCTGCCTCGGCTTCCCAACATGCCCTGGGTTGAATTATAATCTCTGGTGGTAGAATTCCAGGAAACTCATGGTTATCATATTGCCCAGGAGATTCTGATGTCCACTAGAGTTGGAGAATCAGATTTTTTTTTTTTTTTTGAGATGGAGTCTCCGGCCGGGCGCGGTGGCTCAAGCCTGTAATCCCAGCACTTTGGGAGGCTGAGGCGGGTGGATCACGAGGTCAAGAGATCGAGACCATCCTGGTCAACATGGTGAAACCCTGTCTCTACTAAAAATACAAAAAATCAGCTGGGCATGGTGGCGCGTGCCTGTAATCCCAGCTACTCAGGAGGCTGAGGCAGGAGAATTGCCTGAACCCAGGAGGCGGAGGTTGCGGTGAGCCGAGATCGCGCCATTGCACTCCAGCCTGGGTAACAAGAGCGAAACTCCGTCTCAAAAAAAAAAAAAAAAAAAAAGAGATGGAGTCTGGCTCTGTTGCCCAGGCTGGAGTACAATAGTGTGATCTTGGTTTTCTGCCACCTCTGCCTCTTGGGTTCAAGCAATTCTCAAGCCTTAGCCTTCCAAGTAGCTGGGACTATAGGTGCATGGTACCACCACCAGCTAATTTTTGTTGTTGTTGTTTTGTTTTTTTTGAGACAGTTTTGCTCTTGCTGTCCAGGCCTCCACCTCTCAGGTTCAAGTGATTCTCCTGCTTCAGCCTCCTGAGTAGCTGCGATTACAGGCGCCCACTACCAGGCCCAACTAATTTTTTGTATTTTCAGTAGAGATAGGGGTTTCACCATGTTAGCCAAGCTGGTCTTCAATTCCTGGCCTCAAGTGATCCACCCACCTTGACCTCCCGAAGTGCTGGGATTACAAGCATGAGCCACCTTGCCTGGCCAAGAATCATTTTTTGGACACTAAAAGGCCCAGAAACGGAGAAGAGAACATCAATCAAACGGATCAACCCAGCTGCTTAAGGTTAACACTGAGACAATGTAGTGGAGGGGATGACTATGCTCAGAAAAACCTGGGTTTAAATCACACTGACTAATGTGGGCTTAGGTCATGACCCCGCTGAGCCTTGCACACCTACTTGCCTGGCTGCTGCTTCTACTTCCTGTAAGTCTTTGACAACTGCCACTTTCTCAGATAGTCTTTTCCTGAGCATACCATTTATTTATTTAGTTAGATATTCAGATAGGCTTTCCTTGACCACCACTATTTATTTATTTATTTATTTATTTATTTATTTTTTTGAGACGGAGTTTCACTCTTGTTACCCAGGCTGGAGTGCAATGGCACGATCTCGGCTCACCGCAACCTCCGCTTCCCGGGTTCAGGCAATTCTCCTGCCTCAGCCTCCTGAGTAGCTCGGATTACAGGCACGTGCCACCCTGCCCAGCTGATTTTTTGTCTTTTTAGTAGAGACGGGGTTTCACCATGTTGACCAGGATGGTCTCGATCTCTTGACCTCGTGATCCACCCGCCTTGGCCTCCCAAACTGCTGGGATTACAGGCTTGAGCCACCGTGCCCGGCCCTATTTATTTCTTTTGAGACGGAGTTTTGCTCTTGTTACCCAGGCTGGAGTGCAATGGCACGATCTCGGCTCACCACAGCCTCCGCCTTCTGGGTGCAGGCAATTCTCCTGCCTCAGCCTCGTGAGTAGCTGGGATTACAGGCACACGCCACCATGCCCAGCTAATTTTTTGTATTTTTAGTAGAGACGGGGTTTCACCATGTTGACCAGGATGGTCTTGGTCTCTTGACCTCGTGATTCACCTGCCTCGGCCTCCCAAAGTGCTGGGATTACAGGCGTGAGCCACTGTGTCCAGCCCTATTTATTTATTTATTTATTTAGAGACACAGTCTTGCTCTGTTGCCCAGGCTGGAGTGCAATAACACAATCTTGGCTCACTGGAACCTCCACCTCCCAGGTTCGAGCCTCAGCCTCCTGAGTAGTTGGGATTACAGGCATGTGTCACCATGCCTGACTAATTTTTTGTATTTTTGGTAGAGATGTGGTTTCGCCACATTGCCCAGGCAGGTGTGGACCTCCTGATCTCAGGTGATCCACCTGCCTCTGCCTCCCAAAGTGCCGAGATTACAGGCATGAGCCACCGTGCCCAACCTGTTTATTTATTTATAGAAGAGTCTTGCACTGTTGTCCAGGCTGGAGTGAAATGATGCAATCTTGGGTCACTGCAACCTTCACCTACCGGGTTCAAGGGATTCTCCTGCCTCAGCCTCCTCAGCAGATGGGACTACAGAGTCACACCACCACACCCAGCTAATTTTTGTATTTTTAGTAGAGAAGGGGCTTCACCATGTTGGCCAGGCTTGTCTTGAACTCCTGACCTCACGTGATCCACCCACTTTGGCCTGCCAAAGTGCTGGGATTACAGGGGTAAGCCACTGAGCTGGCTTTACCACACTATTTAAAATTACCTCTCTCTCAGTGCCCCTCTTCCTTATTTTATTTTTCTTGGTAGCATTTATCACCATCTAATAGGCTATCTACTTATTTATTGTCTGTCTCCTTCACTACAAATAAAAGCTCCATTAAGTCTCTGTCTGCTTTATTTATTGATGTCTCCTCCGTGCCTAGAACAGACAAATAATAGGCATTCAATAACTTAACGTTGTATGAATAAATCTATCTGCAAAAAGAGGTAAAAGGATCTACCTCCCAGGGAAATACTGTGACAGTTATGAAAATTAAATGAGAGGATAAATTTAAAGAGCTTGCATTTAAATACTCTAGCCATATACTTAGCAAGTATTCATCTAGGATGCTTCTTTGTGGGCTGAGTCCTGGGAGAAGGGTATGTGGCAGGTCAGGTCTCACTAACACAGGCCTGCGTAACAACTTTCTGTACTGAGTGGTTAAATATTAAAAGTTCAAAAAAAGCCAGTGTTCTTATACAAAGGCTGGAAGGTTTTTTTTTTTTTTTGAGACGAGTTTCGCTCTTGTTACGCAGGCTGGAGTGCAATGGCGCGATCTCGGCTCACCACAACCTCCGACTCCTGGGTTCAGGCAATTCTCCTGCCTCAGCCTCCTGAGTAGCTGGGAATACAGGCAAGTGCCACCATGCCCAGCTAATTTTTTGTATTTTTAGTAGAGACGGGGTTTCATCATGTTGACCAGGATGGTCTCGATCTTTTGATCTCGTGATCCACCTGCCTTGACCTCCCAAAGTGCTGGGATTACAGGTTTGAGCCACCGCGCCCGGCCTGGAAGGTATAACAAAAGCCTACCAAAGGCCTTTCCTTAGCCTTAAAGCATGGCAAAATAACGAAGGAATTCCTAACAGGACCCATTTAGGACTAAGCAAGTTTTTTTGTTTTTGTTTTGTTTAGTTTTTTCTAATACGGAGTCTCTGTCGCCAGGCTGGAGTGCAGTGGTGTGATCTTGGCTCACTGCAACCTCCGCCTCCCTGGCTCAATCCATTCTCCTGGCTCAGCCTTCCAATGCTAGGATTACAAGCACGGTCCACCATGCCCAGCTAATTTTTTGTATTTTTAGTAGAGATGGAGTTTCACCATGTTGTCTAGGATGGCCTCCACCTCCTAACCTCAAGATCCACCCTCCTCGGCCTCCCAAAGTGCTGGGATTACAGGCATGAGCCACCGTGCCGGCCAATGCCCAGGTAAGTTTCGTATTTTTAGTAGAGACAGGATTTCACCATGTTGGCCAGAATTGTCTTGATCTCTTGTCTTTATCCGCCCGCCTAGGCCTTCCAAAGTGTTGGGATTGCAGGCGTGAGCCACTGCGCCCAACCGGATTAAACAAACTTTATTGGGAGTCTGAAGTAACTCCCCAAACCTCTGTGATTTAGCAGGAGACAAGATAAGGGCACCTACACCCATACAAATTAAGAAAATTAACTGAGGCTCCAGAGGAAGGTCTTCAGGACTCAGACCTTAGATATAGATTAAAATAAATTAATCACTTATAGATTAATGCACTTTTTTTTTTTTTTTTTTGAGACAGAATTTCACTCTTGTTACACAGGCTGGAGTGCAATGGCGCGATCTCGGCTCACCGCAACCTCCGCCTCCTGGGTTCAGGCAATTCTCCTGCCTCAGCCTCCTGAGTAGCTGGGATTACAGGCACGCGCCACCATGCCCAGCTAATTTTTTTTGTATTTTTAGTAGAGACGGGGTTTCACCATGTTGACCAGGATGGTCTCGATCTCTTGACCTCGTGATCCACCTGCCTCGGCCTCCCAAAGTGCTGGGATTACAGGCTTGAGCCACCGCGCCCGGCCGATTAATGCACTCTTAAACGTAGACCTATAGCTTCGAAGGTATATAAACTCTGGAAAGCTTTCTAATTTTGCGTTGGTCTAGTGATAATTTCCAGGCCTTCTCCCTGTAACTTGTTACAGAAATAAAAACTCTCTTTCTCTTCAGTTCATCTGCATCTCCTTATAGGACCACAAGAAATAGCAGCCCGACCCTCAAGTCTGGTCCGAAAACAGGTGGAGGGCTCTCCAACTTTTTTGGCAGATTTTTGCTGTTGATCAGCACCCCCTTCCCCAACTTTCCCTTGGGTCTTTCTCTCCCCCAGGAGTTCCTGGTTCCTCTGCAATTAATCACAGCCAAGTCTAACTGGTTCTTCAGGACAGAAAATAAACAGGAGCAGCCGAACCCTAATTTTGACCGACAGCTTTTTCCTCTCCTGTCCTCGCTTTCCAGTCAGTGACTCGGAAGAGATTTTAACAGCAACAGTTCCCTCCTCTTGCCAGCTTGATACCACCTGCAAACTGAAAGAACAGGGTTTAAAGAAGTGGCAATCTGGTACGGTGGATGCTTCCATTTCCGCGCAGGCGCGTTCTGTCGCAGCTCCACAACTATCGCGATAGACCAGCGAAATCGACTCTGGCCCTTTAACAGCCCCTTCCCGGAGGCCTGCCCCGCGCGTGCGCACTGCAGTTCTGCGCTTGTCATCATGGCGACGCGGGGCCATGTGCAGGACCCGAACGACAGGCGCCTCCGGCCCATTTACGGTGAGTGCCTCGGGCCAGTCGGGTCGCCAGCCCGACGCGTCGAGGGCTGCCGAGGCTGGAGCGAAAGCCCAGGAGGGGTGCTGAGGGCCGGCGCGTGGGCCGGGCAGGCGCAGGGGGCGGGCCGCGCGGGCCACTAGGCCGCAGCCGCGGGCCTCGCGTAGGCGCCGGCCCAGCCTTCCTCAGACCTAACGTGGTAGCGGCGCGGTCAGGGCAGCTGCTGGTCGCCAGAGCTGGCCTGCCTGGCAGGCCCCTTGGGACGCGTGGTTCTGAAGACACCTGCGCTACCCGCAGGCTGCGTTATTACCACCGCTGCTGAGGAGACCGGAGATTTTCCCGAAGGTGGAAGCCGGCTCCGGCACAAGGGTGGGAAGCCCTGCCAGGGGGATGATTCCCTACCAGAAATTTTTTTATTTACAGGAATTGGGCCTAGAGGGTTGTCTGACTAGGTGGGCCTCGGTATGCAGGAGAAACCGAGGTCCGGAGTGGGGAAGGGGCGGACGCAAGGTCACCCAGATCGAGTCAGGAGCAGGCGCGAGATTCCAGGCTCCCAATCCAGAGCTGTTTGGTGGAGAAGCAGCTGCTCTGGGCACACGTGGGAGGCGGGGGGAGGGGGTCTTGGGCCCAAAATAGCGGTGAAGAGATTGTGATAGCTCGTGTCAGAGGGGCATGCAGAACTACTGGAGTGCTTCTCCTTTCTGCAGCTTCTCTGTGGTTTTCTCTGCAGTTTTTCTTCCCTGTGCTGTGCAGATCCCTCTTCACAGCTCTTAACCTCAACCCGCAGGCTTGAAGACCTTGATGTCATCCAGTTACCTCCGTAGTGAAAAATCACAGATTTGAGTTTGGGAGAAACCCTTTTCCAATAACCGAGATACTGTGTAATTGGATTGGTCCTTTTTGCATTTCCTTTCCTCTTAGATGGTTGTATGGTTTTGGTCTGTCTCACTTAATGGTGAGGAAGCTTCAAGGTCAGCGGTTTTTAACAAAAGTAGACCTCGTGTTTATAGACCTCGTGTGGATGTTACATTGGAGGCTTCTCCCCATGGCGGGAATCATTTTGGGATGGGGGGCGGTGGTTAACTTTGTTTCTGGCCACAGTTAGTTCTGCTTTTATTTTATAATTTATATGATTCTTTTTTTTTTTTTTTTTTTTGAGACGGAGTTTCGCTCTTGTTACCCAGGCTGGAGTGCAATGGCGCGATCTCGGCTCACCGCAACCTCCGCCTCCTGGGTTCAGGCAATTCTCCTGCCTCAGCCTCCTAAATAGCTGGGATTACAGGCACGTGCCACCATGCCCAGCTGATTTTTTGTATTTTTAGTAGAGACGGGGTTTCACCATGTTGACCAGGATGGTCTGGACCTCGTGATCCACCCGCCTCGGCCTCCCAAAGTGCTGGGATTACAGGCTTGAGCCACCGCGCCGGGCCCAATTTATATGATTCTTTACTCTCACATCTCATTTGATTCTAGCAACAATCCTGTGAGTTGGGAAGTAATAATAGCTAAAGTTGACAGATCGTTCATTATAACAGTCACTGGCCTTGGCCTTTTATATGGGCTAATATAATCTTCACCCATTCTCAAGAGGTGGGTACGGTTTTTTCCAGCCCCTGAACTGTTTAACAACAACAACAACAAAAAAACAGATGAGGAAACTAGAGCTTTATTGATACTGTGTAATTTGTCTAAGGCCACTTAGCTAGTATTTCTTTCTTTCTTTTTTTTTTTTTTTTTTTAAGACGGAGTTTCTCTCTTATTACCCGGCTGGAGTGCAATGGCGCGATCTCGGCTCACCGCAACCTCCGCCTCCTGGGTTCAGGCAATTCTCCTGCCTCAGCCTCCTGAGTAGCTGGGATTACAGGCACGCGCCACCATGGCCAGCTAATTTTTTGTATTTTTAGTAGAGACGGGGTTTCACCATGTTGACCAGGATGGTCTCGATCTCTTGACCTCGTGATCCACCCGTCTCGGCCTCCCAAAGTGCTGGGATTACAGGCGTGAGCCACTGCGCCTGGCCCGTATTTCTTTCTTTTTTAAGACGGAGTCTCACTTCTGTCACCTGGGCTGGAGTGCAGTGGTGCTATCTCCACTCAGTGCAACCTCCACCTCCTGAGTTCAAGCAATTCTCCTGCCTCAGCCTCCTGAGTAGCTGGGATTATAGACATGTGCCACCACACCTGGCTAAATTTTGTATTTTTAAGTAGAGACTGGGTTTCACCGTGTTGGCCAGGCTGTTTTGCAACTCTCCTGACCTCAAGTGATCCGCTCACCTTGCTCGGCCTCCCTAAGTGCTGGGATTACAGGTGTGAGCCACTGAGCACGGCCTCAGTTAGTATTTCTTGGAGCCAGAGGAGTCTCTGTCGCTCAGGTTGGAGTACAGTGGCATAATCTCAGCTCACTGCACCATCCATCTCCCAGGTTCAAGCCTCAGCCTCCTCAGTTGCTGGGATTACAGGCTCATGCCACCAGGCCCAGCAAACTTCTATGTTTTTAGCAGAGACAGGATTTTACCATGTTGGCCAGGCTGGTCTTGAACTCCTGACCTCAAGTAATCTTTCTCAGCCTCCCAAAGTGCTGGGATTATAGGCATGAGCCACCAAGCCTGGCTCCAGGCTTACCTTTTTTTTTTTCTTTTTTGGAAGACAGTCTCTTTCTGTCATCCAGGCTAGAGTGCAGTTGCACAATCACAGCACACTGCAACCTCCGCCTCCTGGGTTAAAGTGATTCTCCTGCCTCAGCTTCCTGAGTAGCTGGGATTACAGGTGCCTGCCACCATGCTGGCTAATTTTTGTATGTATTGTAGAGAATAGGTTTTGCCATGTTGCCCAGTCTGTCTAAAACTACTGAGCTCAACCAGTCCTCCTGCCTCGGCCTCCCAGAGTGCTGGGATTACAGGTGTGAGCCACTGCACCTGGCCCAGGCTCACCTTCTTAACCTCTGTGCTAGAAACCACCTCACTTTGAGCTGAAGACACTGATTTGCCTGAGGTCACACAGAGAAAGGATTCTGATTTCCCATTTCCCGGAGCTGCATATTCTCACGCCCTTGCCCTCCAGTATATATTTTCAGAGGGCAAAAATATGTGCAAGGCGGGTGATGAAAGGTGAGAACTGAATCCAGGGTTCATAATTTGTGACTTATTACATCTTTGTGCAGCAGCTGTTAACAGACTTTTTTTTTTTTTTTTAACTAAAAAGACTCAATACTTCCAAGAGTATTTTGATTTTTAAAATTGTCCTTGAGGACCAAAGAGAATTTCTTTGGTCCCATAGTTATTTAGAATTAATAGTGTTAATTAATTGGCTGTCCAGTGGTAAACACATGTCCATTTCACATCACTAAACATCAGGATATATGAACCAGGATATATTAACAAGTTACGTTCTCAAAACTGAAGTCAGAATTATGTAGCTCTTGTTATATGTACATGGGAAGAGGATTAGAAGAGGCTTTCTTCAGGAATTCTAAGGTGATTAGTATAAACTGGCAGGACTAGGAAAAGAATGGTATAGACTGTGAATTCAGCACTTCAACACATTTGACTTTTGAACTCCACACTTTTGTTGTTTAAATACTTTAGTACCTCCAAACAACTATGGTTCCTTGAATTCAGACATTCTGATAAATGAACAAATTCATCTATGGTGGTACTTGCCCACCAGCCAAAAATTCAACGACTGTCAGCATTAATTAGTGTTTACTGGTGGGCTAACTGCCCTGTTAGGTAGGTAAGATTATTGTGATCAAACTGAAGCCTAGAGATTAACTTGCTCAGGGTTGTAGCTACCTAACTGTAGAGCTGGCATTCTCACTGACAGCTCAGCCCTTCACCAAGTTCAGATTCAGCAGCACCACTATCTTTGTACAACAATATTTGTACTGCCAAGGTTTCAGGATTTTACCGTTGTGTTGGAAACCTTGCTTGGGGCCTCAGCTCTTGCTGGATATCATTGAGGGTACACGTGGACAAGGCTGTAAGGTGATCATTGTGAAATTGAGGTAGGTTGAAATTTTACTTGTGGTGTTTAGGGTTGGAATAGGTTTTCTGTGTGCATAGATTTGATTAGTTCAAACATCTTCACAGTGCATCTTGCATTACTGATAAGTTTGAGTATTGCATTTTTTTTTTTTTTTAGGTATTTTCTCCTAATTTTTATTTTTATTTTATTTTATTTTTTATTTTTGGTATTTTATCCTAATGAGTATTGCATTTTTAGTTTTTTGAAAACTTCCACTCATAGGCCGGGCGCGGTGGCTCAAGCCTGTAATCCCAGCACTTTGGGAGGCCGAGGCGGGTGGATCACGAGGTCAAGAGATCGAGACCATCCTGGTCAACATGGTGAAACCCCGTCTCTACTAAAAATACAAAAAAAAAGTAGCTGGGCATGGTGGCGCATGCCTGTAATCCCAGCTACTCAGGAGGCTGAGGCAGGAGAATTGCCTGAACCCAGGAGGCGGAGGTTGCGGTGAGCCGAGATCGCGCCATTGCACTCCAGCCTGGGTAACAAGAGCGAAACTCCGTCTCAAAAAAAAAAAAAAAAAAAAAAAAAAAAAAAAGAAAACTTCCACTCATGACCTTACTAGAACCCCGACTTGATTTTTCAGTCTCCTTTTGCTAAAATTGTTCTCTTTTGCTATGTAGCTCCCAGCAGATTTTGTACGCTTGTGTTACTTCGTAAGCTCCAGTGCCTTCTTTCATTTTTTTTTTTTGAGACAGGATCTGGCTCTGTCACCCAGGCTGGAGTGTCTTGGTTCACTGTAACTTTCACTTCCCAGGCTCAAGTCATCCATCCTCCTTAGCCTCCTGAGTACCAGGACTGCAGGTGGGCACCACCCTGTCCAGCTAATTTTTGTATTTTTAGTAGAGACAGGATTTCACCATGTTGTTCAGACTGGTCTTGAACTCCTAAGCTCAAGCAGTCTGCCTGCCTTGGCCTCCCAAAGTGCTGGAGTTATAGGTGTGAGTCACCACACCCTGCCCATTATTCTTCATTTTAAAATGT